AAAAAAATAATATCTTTTGCTAGAATTAAAGAAAAAAAATTGTAATTAAGTGAGTCAATTCGTTTAACTTACTAACTCGTAATGACACAAATCAAATTTGAATTTTTTAAAATTGCTAATAAGTGAGCCAAGTTAAATTGATTCACTAAGTGATCAACGCGTGTGGATCAAACCGAGTTGGACTGAACTAGGTGACTCGATTCTAATTCTAAGTCTTCTCCAAGTTAAATTCCAAACCCAATTCTATTATCACATTCCCAATATCTAAAGAAATCTAGTAAATATACTCATATTTTATGACTAAAATCATTTCATCATTGTTTTCAAACAATTTAATTCTTCTTTAACAACTCTTACACAAACTATTGAAAAACACACAGATAAATAGGTAATAAAAATGTAATTCCCATTATTTTGATTTATTAAAAAAAAACTCTTGATATTTAAGAGATTTAAAAATGTAATTCCCATTATTTTGATTTATTAAAAAAAAATTGAAATCGAACATATTTATTTTTTTGATATCCTTTCACTTAAAATCTTTAGAATCTCAAATTTTATTTCAAAAACTTTGCAGATATAATTAATTATTTTTTCTCATGTACCAGAAGTATGCTGAAAAATTATCAATAAAAATATGGAATTTAAAGAAAGAAAATCATAACTCTTCGATGATTAATAAATGCTATACGGTAAATGCTATAAATAAATATTGGACGTTAAAGACCATAGAATAAAACTGTAAAATAATTACTTTGTAATAAATGCCAGTAAATGTATTTCTTAGGTTTGGTCAGAAGAAACGTAAACTACAAAAGATTTCTTACTATAAATTAATTAAAACACATTGCTCACATAACTTTTACACTTTAATTAATTTATTATTTTTATGTTAATATATTTGAATATTGTTTTTAAAATATATTTTATACATGAATTATATGTAAAATATTATTTAATAAGAACACTAGTGAAAAAATAATTTTTTAATATAATTTATTATATCGATAATAATTTATTTAACATAATAAATGATAGGTGAGATGCTAATTAATTTGTTTATAATTATGTTTTAGGTTAAAGAGTTGTCCATATTTATGTAGGATTTTTCTATTTTGATTTCTTTTTTTTTTAAATCTCCAATTGGGTCATAAATAGTGCTAATTTGAAACAATTGAGCTCCTGCCATTAAATTGGCTTAACGAGGTTAAGTTTTTGCTGAGGTTGGAGGTGCCATTAAATTGGCTTAACAGAGTTAAGTTTTTGCTGAGGTTGGAGGTTGACATGTCAATTTTTTTAAATGTGGCATGCTGAGAGTTGAATCCATGGAATTTGGCAACTTGTTAGCTTTTAATAATATGGATTTCTGAAATGGGATTTAGGCTTCAAGGATATTAAAAGTGAGATTTCATTCATGATTAAAAATATGAGAGGAATGTGCTTGTGAGAGGAATGTGCTTGTGAACGTTGCGCGAAGTCTTTAGTGGAGACCCATTAGGATTCGTTGTTGTTGAAGATTGGAAAGAACTTGAAGTTTCGAAACAGGAAACTGCGAAAGCAGAAGACGCAACAATGTCGATGGGTCATTCGTGTTCATCTTCCACTTGCAATGAGTGTCGAAGAAAGCAACTATGGTCTGTGAGCTCTCATGGAGATGGAGGGTGGAACAGGAATGACACTTCGCTGATTTGCTATTGTGGAGAGAAGTCTGTGTTGAGGACTGCGAAAACTAGTAAGAATCGAGGCAAGCAATTTTGGGGTTGCCCTAGGTATAAGGGTAGAAGTGAAAATGCTGGATGCAACTACTTTAGATGGTCCAGTAATTGGGGAATTGACGAAAGTGTTAGCTGTGAGGTGTTGGAAGCAAATGACGAGAGGCTACTGAAGAGTTTTGAAAATGAACGTGATAAGAAGATAGTTGGTGTGCATAAAGCTGTGATGGATGTTCAAAGGTCAATGAAATTTTTTGGGGTTGTTAGTGTTCTATGTGTAATGAACATCATTATATTTGCAATGTTTGATGGGAAGGGCTTGATAATGTATGTGTAGGTTTAATGTAGGTCTGTTTTGGTATTGTAGGCTTGATAATGTTAATGTAGTTCTGTTTAATGTATTAGTTGTAGTGTATCACTTTCAGATGTATCACTTTCAGCTGTTTAATGAAATGAAATTTGCAAACAATGAGTACAATTGTTGTCTCTGTTTTGGTATCAATTTTATGTCAACAATTGCCTTATATATATATTATCTCTCCTACCGGGACCATGCTAGTGGCTCGTGGCACAGTTTATGAGACGGCCACTATAGTGCATGGTGTACAGCTAGCAGAAGATGAGGTCAAGGTCACGGTGGATGAATTTGTCGTACCAGATGCCCTTGTTCNAATAGGTCCCTTTATTTTTTGGCGTCTCAATTGGGTCCTTATTTTTGTTAATTTAATGCAAATAAATCCTTTCCGTCAATTTCATCAAACGACGTTAATGAATGTGTGACGTGGCCTTACACGTGTCAATACTGTCCTCAGGCAACGTCACACATTCATTAACGTCGTTTGATGAAATTGACGGAAAAGATTTATTTGCATCAAATTAACAAAAATAAGGACCCAATTGAGACGCCAAAAAATAAAGGGACCTATTTCAAATTCTGAACAAAAATAGGGACCTATTGAGACACTAAACCAAATAATAAATAATATTAAAAAATTTGTGAATAGTAAAATTTTTGGACTATAAATAGCCATGAGAGAGGAGGTTATTCTGCATAAAGAGAGGAAGAATCAAGTGAGAAAGCTTGAGAAATAGAGAAGAAAGAGTTAGAAAGAAATTTTTAGTTGCAAGAAGAGTAGAGATTCTAGAGGGTTTTCGGGGAAACAAATTCTGAGCAAGAGATTAGGTATGGAATAGAGGTAGGGGAGCTAACCTTTCTAAGCTTTTATATTATGATATTGTTTTATTAATATTCATGTCTTGAAATTCTGTGTGAATACTGTTAATGAAAAACATAGGTGTTTGTTATATATCTATCTATATTGAATTTCTGTATTAATATTATATGTTGTTGTTTTGAATCTGTAAAATAAGAAATTTGTTAAAACTAGTTGAGGAACACTTTGGCTAAGGAAAGACTTAGTACTTAAGTTGTCCATTGTGACACGCCTCTCTTTCCTAGAAGTCTACTCGACAAGTTTTTAACTTAAATATTGTTGAACAGATTATGTACTATTAAATTATTGTGCAATATATCTTGTTGGAATAAAAATTTCTGATGAATTCATGTTATTGTGGTAGATATGAAATTATGAATTATAATTTTGATGGTATGATAGAGGAATCTTAAAAACCGGAGTTGGTATATCCCTGATCATAGAGCAGTCCTAGTCAAATCCAGTAAGTTGTGACTAGTCATATGTACTGGCGTTTATGGTGAGTTTGATTCGTCAAACATTTGATTCTTCTCCGGTGACCATATTTGTGGTGATGTTTTAGTATTGTTAATTTATTTTGTGATATATTCATTTTGTATGATTTTTGCGATGATTGGACTTTATTGAATTTGAATTTATGCATATGAACATGATATGAGTATTATGGGGAGATTTTGTAAGGGTATAATGTGAGTTGGGGAATATGAGCATGGTATGAGTCTCGTGGAGAGATTCAGTAATGATGTGGTATTTGTGTATATGTTGATGTTGAGGGTTCTGTAGTTGGAGGTTATCCTGATACTCTAATAGTCATCCAGTCTCAAGTAGAGAAGGATGAATTATGTGGTGAGAGGGGCAAGAGGTCCTGGTCTATGTGTCGATTTTGGACATAGTGTTGAGGACTAACCTTGTGTATGTTATGGAGTATTTTGGAATTGTATTTGTAAGATGAAGTAGAAGTCATCACAAGTGCATAACCTCCCGTGACCGCTCATCAACGTATCATCCGGATTAGTGTCTATTGGGTATTGTGGGATGAGTGTCCATTGGGTATTGTGGAATGAGTGTCTATTGAGTATTGTGGAACGAGTGTCTATTAAGTATTGTGGGATGAGTGTCTATTAGTAATTGGGTATTGTGGAATGAGTGTCTATGATGCGATTGTTGTATGATGGTATAAGTATCTATGATGTGATTGTTGTATGATGGTATGAGTATCTATGATGTGATTGTTGTATGATGGTATGAGTATCTATGATGCGATTGTTGTATGATGGTATGAGGGTGTCTGACATAATTATTATATGAGGTTTGTTGAGTGTGTCAAAGTAATGAATGAATATCTATGATGCGATTGTTGTATGATGGTATGAGGGTATGACATAATTATTATATGAGGTTTGTTGAGTGTATCAAAGTAATTATGCATGTTTTATAAATTATTGGTTCCATGTTAGCTCACCCTACTTGTTTGTGTTTGTGTATGTGCAATGATCATATAATTCGTTATACGGGAGCAGATGAAAGAATGTCGTCTGATTCAGTGCTAGTGAAAAAAAAGATAAAAATGTGAAATTACGAGATGTTACGACTTTTGATTTTGAGTATGCTTTTCATCCACTCTTAATAGTCGGGGTCTCCTTTAGGTTCAATATAAGCAAATGGTGATTTTCATCAAAACATTCAATACTTATATCCATATGCAGGTATCTTAAACTTATACGGGTTAGAACACTCCTATGACTCTATTTTTTATATTATTTTATTTTTTGCTGATAAAAAAATCAATTAAAACAAATACATAGTTTTTTTTAACACAACACTATTTATTCTTCTTATTCTTCTAAGAGTTATATATTTATTTATATATACAAAACTAGGTATTTATGCTGTTTTTACACAATAAAAAGCTAAACAATTTCATGTTAACTTCAATAACTAACTATTATATATAAATCATTTGTTGAACTTGATTTAAAAGAAAAATTAACAAGAGAAAAGAGGAACAGATAAATAAATTGTACTAAATAAAGATCTTTATTCTTAAAGTTGATACAAAACATAATTATAAAGATTAATTACCACAAATACCCCCAGGTCCTCCAAATTGGAGAACACTTCCAAGATTCTCTCCTTGATCTCCAAAGTATTTAACACCGTAACATTTATCGTTGTCAGTGAAGGATTTGGTCTCATCAGGTTTAGGTCCATAAATGTTTTTTGATGAATCTTGAGCCAATACAGATCTAAAATAACATGAATGGAGACTATGTCCGTCAGGAAAATGTCCAGATCCCATTGGAGGACTAGGACTACCAATATTAGCTTTTGTTCTTCCACCCCATCCTACAATCGCTGCTGAACCCAAGTTGTTGAATAATTTTGCTGGAAAATAACCAATGTTTTTCTTTCCCAAAGTTAACCACCAATTTTTTGTCTCTGGATCCTAAAAACACACAGTTACCTTTTGTAAATAACATATCATATCCTTGTGCATTTAAGACTACTAATTAAATTTAAATTTAATAACATAACAATTTATCAAATTAAATATATTTTCAGTTCTTAATTTATCATAAAAAATTATATTTAATTTTTAACTTAAATTAAAAAATATTCAGTGTCTTTATTATATAAAAGTTAAAAGATAAATATTCTTTCCAAAAAATCGTATATGAAGAATATTATATTTTATTTCATCATAAAACTTTTTTCGTCAAATGAAATATACTTCATACGATTGTTGGAAAAAAATAGTTTACATACACTCTTATAAAGTATAAAAACTACATATTTATAATTTAATTTAAAAAGAACACATATATTTTTATAATAATTTAGAAATAAAAAGTATTTAACCTTTATTTACCTGGGTAATAGAAACGTGAATCACATAACTTGCTACACCATATACCGATAGGCGGGGGAAACGAGCACCAAGGTAAACATTTGTGCTAGTCTGAACGAAACCTTGACATTTAAGGTTGGTGCATCCTGTCTTCTCGAAATTATCTGACTGTATTATACAAAAAAAATTGAAAGAAAGATTAATTATAATTTGGTTTCTATAAATTAAGGTAAAACAAAATGTAATGATATCTCTTCTTACCGTCCATGTAGAATAAAAATGTGTTCCATAATCATTATATAATCCTGGATCCACCTGATATCAAAGTACAAGAATAATTAGAAACCTTTTATGTTCGTTTTCTCTTTTTGTTTAAAATTATTTTCTAAAAACCAACAAATATGATATGTTTTCTTGATTATAATAAATAAATAATTATTTATTTATTTTTATTTGCCTCTAACACAACGTATGTATGTATATAATAACAAATAAATAATAGATAAAAAAGAACAGAATTAATTAAATTTTAATTACTTTTAATTAACTTTCAATAATAAAAAGAAGTATTTGATCCACTAATCATTATATTCTCAATTTTTTAATAATAAAAATGTAATTGTGACTCACATGCCATCCTGCAGAGATTTTGTTGGTGGTGTCTGAGACTCCTCTCTCAACCCAAATATGAGCCAAAGAAATTTGACTCTTATTAACTTGTGGATTATAAATGCTCACTGTTCCACTAACTTTATAATAAGGACCAAAATGTGGTTTGAGAGATACTTCTGCAAGCTACAAAATTAAATATATTCAAATAATTAATAAATTTTAAAAATTAAATATCATATATTTTGAGTTATAAAATATATAAAAAATATCTTACATGAACACCAGGAATTTCTTTACTCAACATATGATCATTTGATAATAAATTTTCATTTGTTCTAAGAACAGGGACGGTCCCTTCTGGACAATTTTCCTCATCAAATTCAAACATGAATTCAATTTGTGAACTATTCTCAGTTGTCTTTTCAATTTCAAAGCTGGGTTTTTGCTGTAAATAAAGAAACAAACAAATTAAAGTTTATTGAACATATAATCAAAGTAATATAGAAAGTTCAAACCAAAAGCATTGAAATATTATAAAGTTGAACATATTCTATATTATCAAAAAAAATATTATATACCTGCAATTTATGATCTTTCAACAAGGGATGGTCAAAAGCTGGTTGTTTATAGATGTCAACACAGTCAACAATGTTTCCAAACTTTGTCTATAAAATTCAAAATAAAAAAATTAAAATAATATTAATAATTCATGTAATATCATATATGTTCAATGAAAAAAAAAGAAAATATATATAAAAAATTCAAATATTATGAAATACATGAATAGTCTTGATAGATGAATTAATTGTAAGATTTTGTTTTATCTCAAATTTCACATCTTCCTTCAATATATCTTGAATACCATCAACATTATAAACATCACTGATCACCAAACAAAAGATAAAGAACAATATATTCATCATCTTTTTTTCAACTCTATTCTCTAACAAAATGACTTGATGATATATATATATACACACACACTAAGTGATTAAAAATGTTATAAAAATAATTTAAAAGTAATTAAGGTACAAAAAGATATCTTAAAAACTATAGTCAAATATAGTAAGATAATAAATTAATTAAAATGTAAAACATTCTAAGCAATATATTATTAAACTCATTTTGTCATTATATGGTATTTATTACATAGTAATTATTTTATGATTTTACTGAATATTTTTAATTTCCTATATTTTTTATTTATAGTTTTTGTTGTATATCATTTATTAATCTTTCAACAGTTATGATTATCAATTTAAAAAGTATATCAATTTTAAGTTGCAGGATATAAAAATAAATAAATAAATATGTTCGATTTAAGAAAATAAATTTTTTAAATGAACTAAAATATATGAAATATTAATAAACATTTATAACATCGTTTTAGAATTAGAAAATAATTGCGTTGACTCATGGTACTAATAGGTATAAAAATATTGCAAAAAATGTGGACCATGAATATGAGAACAAGCCTTAAATGAGTAACAGTAATCTATTATTCTCAATTAAAAAATAATAATAACATTTAAAAAGAATTATTTCTTTTAGTAATATTTTTCCTAAAATAAGATAATTTTAATTAATACATGATATTAAGTTATATTATCGTAACTTTTACTTTCAAATTTAAACATCATTTTAATAATAATATTCAGAAATGATAATGGATCGGCTCACACGGATAATGTTTATTCGACCCGCAACAAAAAAATTTGTCTATTATTTACATATACATTCGTTTAAAAAATACTAGGTATTTTAAAATTCATGAATATTCGTAATACTTGTGATTATTTAAAAAATATTTTATAAACTTTAAAATAAAATTATAAAAAGTATAAAATATAATATAAATTAAATTAAATAAAAATTTAAATTTAATTTTAATTAAATTTAACTTAATAAAATATAAATTAAATTTTTATTTTTATTTTTAGGAGTAATATATACTCACGAACGTGTATAGTATGACGCTCGAATCCAATCAATTAATAAGAAAGTATTAAAATATCGACCGTTACTCGCGGATTTTGTACGAATATTTTTTCATCCTAATAATATCATAAAAACTCAATATAATTTATTTATATTTTTATATAAATAAAAATAGAGGTAGTAGCCGATAGAGTAAAATTAATATTGTGTTATGTAATTTAAAAAGTTATTCATTTATTAAAAAATTTAAAAACTTTTATGTTAAAATGATTTACTTTTAATAAAATAATCGGAAAGAAATTGAAATTTAAGAAGTTTGGGAGATATTTTTGTAATATCTCAAATTTATAATACAATCTTTTTAATATATAGCGTATTAGAGTTATATCATAAATAAATTATAAAATTTTCATTTGTTATATATATATATATATATATATATATATATATATATATATATATGGGTTTGCTAACGCGCGTACGCCTGTTTTTCAGTTGGTACATTTTAGCAATGTGTACCAGATTTTAGTAGACAAAAATACCCTTATATATATGGATTCTAAGTTTTAAGGTTAAGGGTATTTTAATAGTTTTCATTCTCAAAACTAAAAAAAAAAAAAAAAGAAACCCCGAAACCCATACTCACCTCTCTCATTCCTCTCAACGCTTTCTCTTTCATCTTTCTCACTCCAATCTTTTCTCTGTCATCCCTACTGTAACCCCAATTGAAAAAATTTGAAACACTTGCAGTTAAACAATCTTACAAAAAAATGATTTTATAATGAGTTTTCATCTTATAATTTTTGTCTTATATAATTTTATTCAATTTTCACAAGCATAAAGGAATTGGTAATTGACCTGGAAAAAATCAGAAATACCTGCTGTTAAACAATTTCTTACAAACAATGATTTTATAATGAGTTTTTATTTTATAATTTTCGTCTTATCTAATTTTGTCTAATTTTCACAAGCATAATGACATCAAAGGAATTGGTAATTGGCTTGGAAAAAATCAGAAACACTCGTTGTTAAACAATTTCTTACAAAAAATGACTTTAGAATGAGTTTTCATTTTATAATTTTTGTTGTATATAATTTTATCTAATTTTTACAAGCATAATGACATCGGAAAAAATTGGTAATTGGCCTGGAGGGTTATTTTTAGAGATGATGATTCAACATATGCAGATGTTGAAATTAGAGAGGTTAGTGAAGATGGTGAAATTGAAGAGATTTTGAATGAACCTTTGCCTGAAGGTGAATATGTCAATGACTCAACTCTTTACAAAGGCAAATTGTTTAACAACAAGTGTTTTAGATTTTTTTCAATTGGGGTTATAGTAGGGATGACAGAGAAAAGATTGGAGTGAGAAAGATGAAAGAGAAAGGGTTGAGAGAGGTGAGTAAGGGTTTGGGTGGTTTTTTTTTTTTTTTTTAGTTTTGAGAATGAAAATTATTAAAATACCCTTAACCTTAAAACTTAGAAT